TTTTCTCTTTCTTCTGGACAGTGAGTGTGTTGAAACTGTTCTGTAATTTCGCGCTCTTTCGGCTATACCTTCAGCCATTATGAAGGATGAGTTTTTTATTGCTTTTAATTGGGTGTATGGGTTGTGTGTATGTTTCTAGAGTTGTAGGGATGATTTATTTTCCGAACCAGTTAGCACATTGTGGCTGTGTTCGTAGTTAATATTATTAAGTATCGGCTTTTTTCTTTTTTTCTTATTAAGATTCCATTATATTTAATCTTTTTAAAAATCATCCTTCTGCAACGATGGCCTAGAGGTAAGAGGGCTGATGTCAGATCAGTCGTTTTTGATTCCGATTTGAAGCAATCGGACGTCTAGCAACACTGAGGAGCTGCGATACAACGAAACAGTCTGTCTGTGGATAACTATATATATATATATATATATATATATATATATATATATATATATATATATATATATATATATATATATATATATCTGAACTTTTATTTTTGTTTCCTCTTCTATCACTTCCAGTAACCAGTTTGCGTCTTAGTGGCATTATCATCTTTCTTGGGGTGAATTGATTATATATATATATATATATATATATATATATATATATATATATATTACACACACACACACACACACACACACACACACATATATATATATATATATATATATGGAAAAGAAAACGAGCAAACATTTTAAATGCAGTTCGTTCTTTCAGAAATGCTCACTTTTTTTTAGAAGCATGCAAAGATTTCGGTAGAAGCAGAAAAAAGTTCATATATAAAGATGAGAACTTTTACAAAAAGATTAGAAAAATATTCATGATCATGGAGAATGCTAATTACGGTAATTATTCTTTTATGTTGGTCGAAGATAAGAAAAAAGGTTACCAAAAACTTAAAACAAAAAGCAAGAGAATAATCCATCAGAACAAAACATGGATGCATAAACTAACAAGAAAAGTTCAAAAGACAGCTGCCTAATTTTAATAAATAGATCCCGATGTCTAAATTACCACGACAGAACAAATACGCTTCGCAAAGTTCGGACCGCTACTTAAGTTTCAGGTGACCAGGCTTTGAGCTACATCCCGTTGAAGCATCGCTTCTCGTACGACCTCCAAAATCAAGCAACGTTGAGCCTGGTAAGAACGTTCATCCAATTACCAAGAGCTTGGATGTATGAGTGGTGCAATGGATAACGCCTCAGAATAGGAAATCATAGTCGTGTTCATTATGTTCACTTACTGGTAAAACCCTTGGGGAAGGTAAGTGTCCATCTCATCTCCCACGGCCATGGGTTAATTAGCAGGGTTAGCATCAGTAAATCAATGTTATCTTCTTTAAATCCTGACAATATAAAAATATTTCTGGCATAAATAATCTACAGGACATTGATAAGCAGTACAATGAAATCAATTAATCAACATATATCTATCTATATATATATATATATATATATATTAATCAACATATATATATATATATATATATATATATATATATATATATATATATATGTGTGTGTGTGTGTGTGTGTGTGGATGTGTGGATGTGTGTGTATATTTAAATTAACTGCTATATGCCTATATATGTTAATTTATTCTTCCTTTTCTTATTTACCCGCGTTTTTCCTCTGCCCACTGCTTCCCCATTTGTTTCTGATATCTTTTCTAGTTTTTTGTCTTTGTCTCTTTTCCTTGGAGATGACTTACTAAATAGATCAATGTCTGGTCCTTACCCCAATCCTTTAATCTTAACTATCTTTATAAAAATAGGTTTAAAATTATTCCTATCTCTCCCTTCCTACTCTAATTGTAACCATATCGTCCTCGTCCTCCCCCTCCCTCTATCACCTTACATCAACTTAAAACAACCATAAAAGCTTGTATAAAAATGCTACTAATATGTAAATTTTAAACAACTTTTTATGCTTGGAAATATATCTATATCTATATATATATATATATATATATATGTAATACATAAATATGATTTTAAATAGATTGATATTATTTTGAGCATCTTGAATTTAGAGCTTCGTAGATGGATTCCACAGCAATCGCTCCGTCCACGCGTCAGAACATCTAGCCTTAAATGTCTTTTCTTTCGTTCTTCCTCTGCCTAAAAACATTTCGGGCTTCACACTATTGTTATCGATATATATATATATATATATATATATATATATATATATATATATATATATTGTCATCCACAGACAGGCTGTTTCGCTGTATCACAGCTCATCATTGTGACAAGACATCCGGTTGCCTCTTGCTAGGATCGAAACCCGACTGAATTGGCGTCTGTGTATTTATTTTTAGATAAACACACAGTGACTGAGAGAACTCAATACGATTTACCGAAGACTCTTGCATTATTAGCCGTAATAGTCACTGTTTACCCCCCCCCCCCGTTAAGCAACGTTGAGCCTGGTCAATATCTTGATGCAAATACTAGGTGCTTGGATGTTCTCGGATCATATGCAATAGATAATGGCTCGGAATTGTTAATCGGAGATCCGAATTTCTTTGGAAAAATATGAATCCACCTCTTCCCCCAGATATGGGTTAAATAGTATGACTTGTATGTCTAAACAATTATTATCTCAAAAATCTTACAATCTAATCGTATTTTCTATTGTCGATAGTTTATGTTATATCTAAGGACATTTACTATCACCGAGGAGGCTTTGTACATTAAGGATAAAAGATAGCGATACACTATCAAAGACTTAATGACAATCTATGCAAACTTTCCTGTCCGCCATCAGCAAGGCTGATATTAGTCCTGGAAAGCAACACAATGCGTATTCTTGGTTTCAAATTTTCAACTGACTTGAAGTGGAAGGACTACATCGAATCAATAGCTGCACCTACTGCAAGGAATATTGTGTTACTGTATTGTGCAAGAATGTTTTTCTCGTCAAAGTCCATATTGCCTATTTACAAATATAGCATTCATCCATGCATTGGATACTGCTGTCATATCTGTTATCGTTCACCGACATGATGTGGCTTCTCTCTGTTTTTTCTACAAATATTTTTATGGCAAGCTTCTTTCCTACTATCTGGTCAGGTGATCTTACTATTCATCTCGAGGTTTTTGACAAAATCCAATTAACGATCTGTAATGCAATCAATCCTGACTTGGCATCTCGACTTCAGTCATTTTCTCAGCGACGTGACGTGGCTTCCCTTTGTCTTTTCTACAAATATTTTCATGCCAACTCAAGGACACATGGCACAGTGGATAAAGGCGTTAGTTAGATCCAGTGACAGGACCCAAAGAGTGTGAGTTCAATACCCGGTTAAGACAGTGGAGAACTTTCAGGGGGAAATTAACAGGAGATAACTGATAACTGACATCCATCAAACATGGCACGTGGAGCTAGAACAGTCTATCCCGGTGAGCGAAATAAAGGGTTCAGTTCGACATTCCAACCACCTGAAGAAGGCCGGAGCGTACAACGGCTAAAACGTTCAAATAAATATAACGACAAATATCAGGACAATATCCGAATAATGTAAATAATGTTCTGAGGAAGTTTTTTTTTTTTGTGTGGCCCGACTACAGGAATATAAGCGTACTAAAAGATTAGCATCTAGGTCCTACCCTTTGACTTTTGAAATAGTTAAAATTTCTTTTCTAGCACATCCAGCCTGTGGAACTTCCTCCCGTTTAATTTCTTCCCTGTTAACTACACTCTTTAAAAATCTAAATGCAACGTCAATCGCAATCTTCTATTTTCTTGAATCCCTTTTATTTTTTATCCTTTCCTCAGTCCCCCCACACACGCATCGAGTCTTTTCTTTCACTTTAATTCACTGTAATTCCCTCTGTACCACTGCCATTCCCACCTTACTTGGATGAAATGATAAAAATATAGCTCTACTGAGATTTCCTCCGGTATGCTGCAATTTCTCATACTAACTTTACTCATTAATAGTTGACCTTTGCAACCATATATGCCTCTGCGGCACTTTTCTCTTCTAGAAGAAGTATGTTGTTGCCATCGAGAAAAGAGTAAGTACAGCCAGTCAGTACATACGCAATAAATTTATGGTAGACATGTTATGGGCCTATGATTTTTGGGTTCATCTGTTTAGCTTTTTTGATAGGAGATATGTAATACAATCACCGATTTATTCTTGAATTTCATTGGGTTTATTTAAATCTAACATTATCTTCTATATAAACAGCCTCTCTTGTTTGGTTGTCCTTCGAATCCAAAGATGACGTATCGTTTCTTTATCTCACCTATGAACTCTGAGGTGGCTCCGCAGAGTCTGGAAGAATGGGGGGGGGTCACTGAAAGTCCGTTATCGTAATCACTGATGACAATGCCCTGTGACGTTGATCTCTGACAGCGGTGAGCTTCCAGCGTCGAGTATTCTCGAAGGTGACAGCAACATCATGGATTTTGATTCGCCAACATGGTCGATCACTGGCGAGCTTCTCCAATTCTTTCGGTTTCAGTTTTTAAACCTGGAGATTTGCTTTTACAGTGTCTTTGTACCGTTTTTTGGGTCCGTCTTCGTTCTCTTGCCGTACAAGAGCTCTCCGTGCAGCCGACGTCTTGGCAAGCGATACTCCTCCATGCAGACGACATGCCTGTAAAAGGTTGACAAACCGTAAAAAATCATACAACTTTTACCTTTATTCAAAAACGAAATTTTTGTAGCCAACCGAATGTGTTTCAGTGATTTTATTAGTAAAGTTGACCTTTATTTTCCTTGATCGTCAGAACTAAATGTTTATGAGTTCCCAATAACAAACAAATTAAATTTCTTCACATTTTTTGGAACTACTGTTTAAATATCAATTCTATTATTGAATTAAATAAATCCTTTTGTCATGGATTCAAAAAAAATTCTGGTTAGAAATTTCAGTCTTTGTAACTAATCTTTTCTTATAATAGCGACAATGATAAAATTCAGATCTTATCAACTTTAACTGTTTTTCGTACTCTGTGACTGGCCTTCGGGTTGATTTGAGATGACGTTTCTTTCTTTCTTTCTATTAAGGGATAATTGTGATAACCTGTTTTATTTTACTGTTATTAGAATTTCAAGGGAAACATCTTTTGTTATATTTTGTTTCCCAATCTTTCTTTATTGATGGTCGTTTTGTCTTCTTTCACCTTAAACATTCTTGTATTTCTTTTAGAAGACTTTTCTTTTTCTCATTTTCTTTCTTTCTCTTTGGCTTTATTTCTTCTTTTTCTTTCAGTTCCTATTTTCTTCATTCTAATTTTTTTTATCTGCTCATTCTTTTTTAACTTTTGCATTTATGTTTTTTTTTTCTTTTATATGCCATTTTTTCTTTCTTTCTTTTTTTTCCGTTTTTCTTTCTTTTCTCTCTTTCCGTTTCTGTTTTTGCTTTCTTTTAATTTCCATTCTTTGTAACGTTGTCAGTGGTATTCTTTTTTTAGCTTTTGCTTTCTTTCTGTCTTTTTTCTTTCTTTCTTTTCATTCTTGATTGTTTCTATATGCCAATTTTTCCTTCTTTATTTTCTTTTAACTTCCCGTTTTTCCGTCTTTTTTTCTCTCTGAAATTCTCTTCATTCTTTCTCTCATTTGGTTTCGTTTCTTTCTTTCTGTCTTTTTTCTTTCTTTCTTGTTTTTTTTTTCTTTTATATTTTATTATTTCTTTATTTATTTCCTTTAACTTCCCATTTTTCTGTCTTTTTTTCTGTCTGAATTTATCTTCATTCTTTCTTTCGTTTGGTTTCGTTTCTTTCTTTTATCTTTCTTTCTTTCTTTTATCTTTCTTTCTTGTTTTTTCTTTTATATGTTATTATTTCTTTATTTATTTCCTTTAACTTGTCGTTTTTTCTTTCTCTCTCCGTTTTTCCTTCTTTCTTACTTTCCTTTTTCTTCCTTTCATTACTTTCCTTCCTTGTATCGTTGTCAGTTGTATTTTTTATTTATCTCCACTAAACATTCGTTCATTCATTTTTCTTCTTTCTTTCTTTCTTTCTTTCTTTCTTTCTTTCTTTCTTTCTTTCTTTCTTTCTTTCTTTACCCTTCCTTATATCTTTTTCATTATTCATTTCTTCTTTATTTCTTCATTTAATTTCCTTTTCTGGAGTCTTTTCCGCCATTTTACCTCACCTGACCTTGGCGCTTCATATTTTCAAAACAATCACAATTCCCTTCTACGTCACTGTACCTTTCATGATTTACTTCATTAAATCTTCCATTAAGTTTGATGCTAATTAGGCTAATTATAAAAATTTCTCATAAAATAATTGAAGATTTATAAAACGAATTGTAATAAAATTTCTGTTTAGGATTTTCTGCATCATTGCATCTTTTTGCCATTTTTACTCCCACCATTTTAAACATTGTATTTTTGTTTTTATTACATTCCGTTTCTATTATCAATTGCATACGTTTTGCATTCATGGACTTCTTTTTGTCTTCACTTTTCCTTTATATCTTTCATTAAATCCAGGATTCATTTAACTTGTCTTTAGGGGTTCGTTGTCTTATTCTGTATGGCTTCCTTGATTCATTATTGTTCTCACATACACCGACCTACCAAAAATCATAAAAGTCAGTAAATAAGATAATGTCATGTAGCGGCATCATACCTTGCTCTCAAGATATAAGTGCAATGGCAATGAAGAAACCTTTTTGTTCCTTCTTAATCATCTTTGTTATTTGTTCTGTCTGTTGGTTTCTTTTTTGTTAGGTTATCAGATAAATTCGTTCATTTTCATTCATTTTAATTCTATTATTTATCAACAATTTAAAAAGAAAATCAGTCAATAATATATTCTCTTTCAATTTTCCCGACCTCTTGGCTACCCTACACGAGCTTATCATTGTCTTAATTGTAGCAATCCCCGGGTCTTAAATCGAAGAATTCATTGAAATTGGAAAGTAAACGAAGATAATACTAATCTGAAGGCGTTACATCGGTTGAATAGAGTGAGTGTGGTAGAACTTCCCAACCATGATCATGAATAGTATTTCTGGTCAAATTAGCAACGGAGTGTGTTGTAGTGTTATGGGTAAACTAGCAGGACATACTAGGTTCTATAGCCTTGGATGGCAACCTCTCAAGTAGAAAGTAACTCTGAATTGAAAACTGTACGTAGCCCTGGCGTAGAACATACTATACAGATAAAGGAAAGGATCATTCACTTTGCCTCGATGATCTCGACTACGGTCGAATAATGAAATGAGGATTAGAATAGTCTGACAATAGGCCGGACGTGTGGAGAACTCAGTGACCATCGAACTCACTATTCAGAATTAATTGTCTAAAATGTAGCTCGAGAAACATGAGCACAACGCCAGGTGCTCAATTTAAGGTGAGTGCTTTTACCTATAGTCATATGGAAAATTATGCTTCTTTTTATCTCTAGGAGAAAGAAACTCTGAATTAAAAAAAAACAACAAAAAAACTTATGTACTTATGTAGCCCAGGCGTTGAGCATAGTTTACAGCTAAAGAAGGGATCGTTCGTATTGGTTCGATGATTCCGACAACAGTCGAATAATGATAATGCAGATGTAGTGTTGACAGAGCAAGTGTCGAAAATATTAATCTTTCTATTTATTGGCTTTCCACCATCCTATATTTGAAAGGAGGTAAATTTAAATCAAATTAAAAAAAAATGAATTATGAAAATACATTTTAACTTATTTAAATTAAATATATTTTATATATGTTTTTATATATATATATATTTTATTTATATTTTATATATATTTTATATATATTAAATACATTTTAACTTATTCAAATTAAAAAAAAATGAATTATGAAAATACATTTTAACTTATTTTCTATATTATGCTTCTTTTTATCTCTAGAAGAAAGCAACTCTGAATTAAAAAAAATAAAAATAAAAAAAAAACTCCCAGGCGTTGAGCATATTTTACAGGGATCGTTCGTTTTGGTTCGATGATTCCGACAACAGTCGAATAATGATAATGCAGATGTAGTGTTGACAGAGCAAGTGTCGAAAATATTAATCTTTCTATTTATTGGCTTTCCACCATCCTATATTTGAAAGGAGGTAAATTTAAATCAAATTAAAAAAAAATGAATTATGAAAATACATTTTAACTTATTTAAATTAAATATATTTTATATATGTTTTATATATATATAAATTTTATTTATATTTTATATATATTTTATTTATATTTTATATATATTTTATATATATTAAATACATTTTAACTTATTCAAATTAAAAAAATGAATTATGAAAATACATTTTAACTTATTTTCTATATTATGCTTCTTTTTATCTCTAGAAGAAAGCAACTCTGAATTAAAAAAAACAAAAAAACAAAACAAAACAAAAAACTCCCAGGCGTTGAGCATATTATACAGGGATCGTTCGTTTTGGTTCGATGATTCCGACAACGGTCGAATAATGATAATGCAGATGTAGTGTTGACAGAGCAAGTGTCGAAAATATTAATCTTTCTATTAATTGGCTTTCCATCGTCCTATATTTGAAAGGAGGTAAATTTAAATCAAATTAGAAAAAAAAAAGATAAACAAAAGCTGTAGAGGAAGAATAGATGTACAAAAATTATATCAAAAATATTTTGCTTATAAATTCAAATAACATTAGAAGAGACGAACGAAATTATCTGACAAACCAATCATTTTCCTACTATGCTTTTCCATTGTCTTATTTGTTTGTCCCCGTTTGTAGCCTTTTTTTTTTTTTATTGTAATTCCGCATTTCCCTTCTCTCTCCTGATGGCATTATCGTGCAGAAAGACCAGTTCTCATGCAATCACCGAAGTTAAGCAGCGTCGATCATGGCCAGTACCTTGACTGGTGACTGCTTGGGAAAACCAGTTGCTGTAATCATGAATGTGTAGGGAGGTAATGAATAATGGCTCGGGATTGTAGGAGAGCCAAGTTTAAGTTTCAGACCTTTTCGTTATATTTACTTATGCACAAATAGCCTTGGGGATGGTAAGAATACAGCTCTCGCCCTCAGTTATGGGTTAATTATTAAAACTTGTATCATTAATTCATTATTATCTCCCCCCACAAAAAATACATTCTTAAAATATTTTCTGGCATTAAATAACCTGAAAATGGTTGATAAAACTTTAAACACAAAATCAATCAATAATTCCTTTCAAACTTCAACTTTCTTTGGCTTTTTCTTTCTCTGCACGATTGTCAAAGATTCACAAACCTAAATATGTAGAAAAACGTTTATTTATTGTTTACATTAAAAAGGCATCTATTTAAAAAGAATATGACGAAGAAAAGTCTGTATTTGTAAATGTGGTTTTAATGAAGAAAACTGTTTATTTCTAAATGTGTTTTTTTCTAATGATGGCAGGTGTTTATATTAAAAAATGTCTGTAATTAAGAATAACGGTTATTTGTAAAAATATTGATGAAGACGTTTTATTTTAGTTGTTTTTATAATGAAAACAGTTTAATTTTAGGAGAATTTATAAGGAAGAAAAAGGTTCACTTTTTAAATAATTTATAATGAAGAAAGAAGTTTATTTTCAAGTGTTTATAATGAAGAAACGTTTATTTTTAAAAATGAAGGAAATCACATGTCAGTTACTAGAGTCCTTCACTCTATCAACAGAGCTATATTTGTTTAGCGGCATATCAACCTCAATGGGTTATTTAATGCCTAAATGTAAATATTTTGAACACAATTGTATGTATTCAATTACAGATAAAATGTATTATTGGTCATGTTGCTTTAAAATGTATTGGTAGTCATTTTACTATAAAATGTATTATTGGTAATTTTGCTATAGAATGTATTATTGATAATTTTGCTATAAAATATATTGTTGGTAATTTTACTATGAATATGTATTCTTGGTAATTTTACTATATAAATATGTATTGCTGGTAATTTTACTATAAAAAATGTATTTTTATACTTTCATAGTGTTTTGTTTTTGTTTGATGGTTCACTATTTGATTATTGATGGGAACCTAGCAGGTGCTACCACCCCGGGTGGATCTGGGAAAAAAGCTGCAATTAAGAGGTGGCTTCACTCTCCACACAACCCCTCAATTTCGCGATCAGAGGTCTTGCCGCTGGATATAGTTTATCGTCATACCCAGGAATGAAGGGAGGTTTTTTTAAAAAGAATTTTCAAGGTGTATATAATGCATAAAAGCGTTTATTATTAAAAGAAAAAAAAGTTTATATAAGTAAGAAAAAACGTTAATTTTTAAAAGTGCTTGTAGCATTTATTCTTTTTTTTATGGTGGAGAATGTAATGCCTGCACAGTTGCCAACCGTTAAATGTAAAACTTTACACATGTCTCCAGTTGCATATAAATATTTCATCACGATGATATTTAATGCGCAGAGGTTTCGTGAACAATAAGAAAAGCAGGAATTATTGGCTCGAGACGGTGAGAGTTAACAGAGGTCTATGTTATTTCCAAGAAATTAAAACCAAACATGGAATTGATACTCATATAAGATCTAAACAGCAGAAGTTAAGAGGTTCCAAAATAGTAAATAGTCTTTTCTACAAGTACGTTCACGGTAACTACTCCGACGACTTATTTTAGCTGGTTACCAAACTGTATGAATTTAAGCGTCTTACTAAGTTGGCATTTCAGTCCCACACTTTCACTGTCGAAACGGTGAAATGTAGTCGTCTCTTCTACTTCAATGGCTTCATTTCTCGCACTACGCGCCCGTGGAACTTTCTTCCACTTACTTGCTTCCCTGACAGTTGTAGTCTTCAAATATTCAAATGTAATGTGAATCAGACATCTTTTGATGCCTTCATCTAATTCCCAGTCCTTCTTTTTATCTTTTCCTCAATCATGTCTCTTTACGCTTGCGCCCTCTTTCTGAAACCTCTGGCGTGCTAGTGGTACTCCCGCCTTGCTTGGTGTGAAATGCTTAAAAAAAACATCATGAGAATGCTTTGTGACCAATATCAGATGGAAGAACAACAATAATATACATATTTTCGAATGACATTAAAAAAGAAAAAAAAAAACTATTAATATTAATCCACCATTCGCCCGTAAAAACGTGGATGAGCTCGAAACATTTGAAATAACAACGTGCAGAGAGATTTGCGAGACTATTAAGGATTATTTACAAAATTACTGAAGATGAGAAATCACACTCATTTGCAATCGCAATTGTTCTCATGATGTTAATAAAAAGACTTTATTTTATCAGTATTTATACATAAGATTGACAATGAATCTAACTCCGAGGCAAATATTAAACACACAGAAGGTACATTATATAATGATAATTACAGATCAGATTAAGCTAACAACTGCGTGCCAGGCTATGAAATTACTGAATCACCCTCGCAAATTGAAATACTTATATTTTATTGATGCGCGTTTTTTTTTGTTTCCATTTTTCTTTATTTCCATTTGTTCTTTTCTTCTTACATCTCTTTTTTCTTTTAATTGTAATTTTTTTTTATATATAATTCGATTTTTTCTTATTTTAATTTGATTGATTAAGTTTGATTTTCTATCTGTTCTTCATAATTTATTTTTGTTGCCTTTTGTTTTTCTCTCTTACTTTTTCATTTTCTTAATAATTACATTAAATTATCTATCCTTTTCTTCCTTCTTACTAACTTACATTAATACTTTCTTTCTTATTTCCTTACTTTCTTTCTTTCTTTCTTTTTCTCTTTCTCTCTTTCTTTCTTCTTACTTCCGTACTATCTTTTTTCTATCTCTTTTTTTTCTTCTTACTTCCATACTTTCTTTCTTTCTTTCTTTCTTTCTTTCTTTCTTTCTTTCTTTCTTTCTTCGTACTTCTTTACTTTCTTTCTTCTTACTTCCTTACTTTCTTTCTTTTCTTCTTTCTTCCTTTCTTTTATTCTCTCATTCTTCCTTTCTTTCTTTTTTCATACGTTTTAACATTCTTTCTTTTTTCATTCTCTCAGTCTACATTCTTCCCAACTTTCTTCATTTTTTCATACGTCCTTACATTCTTTCTTTCTTTCTTTCTTTCTTTCTTTCTTTCTTTCTTTCTCCCTCTCTTTCTTCTTCCTGTCTTCCTTTTCTTTTTACTCCTCCTTCCTTCCTTTCTTTCTGAAAGCGCCCGAGGTGTCTGACCTGCTGAACCGCTATTTACGAGAGGTCCAAGGCGCATGCGTGATGTTGATCCTTTTATGAACGTCGTTCATTTGCAAACGAGAACGGTCACCGGCTTTAAAGGTCATTATACAACGATGGTAAAGGGCAGAGAAAAATTACACGTGGAAGAGAGCAAACGTGGCAGTTCGGGAGACTTCTTTTCTTTGCAAAGACTGTCCTATTCGTTAACAAGCTATTTCGCGCCGAGATTGACGGCCGGCCGGTTCGACCTGAAAATTATTCCCGAATTTGACAGGACTGGAGCGTCACTGGATCGAGAAGCTTCAATTGGTATGTGAGCTATCTGGGGTTTAGCAGATTAATCGCGCCATTCCTCTTCGCCTAACTGGGGGCCCGTTGGCGGTTTAACGATAACTGACCAAGGATGTGAAATCGGACGCGGCTCAATCAAGGAAACACTAATCCCCACCTTTGCCGCTGATAGATTCACGGCCCTCGAAAAGTTTGAGTAATGTGCATAGCGTCCGGGTAAGTCTGTAGATGTGTATTTGACAGATTTGCGAAAGTTATCGGTCTTTTGCAGAGGAATCCCTGACAGTGCAATGGCATGCATGTTAGTGTGGTGGCTTCCTGGCCACGTGAGAAGGCACCTTCGGTCTTCCTGCAGGGTGGATGATATGTCTCTCGAGGAGCTGTTGATCCGAGCTCTAACGCCTATAAAGGACGAAGCTGCAGTGAAGGAACCAGTTGTTGTTATGGCGCAGCTTGCTCGGATTGCTCAACTAGCCACCTGTTACATTCGATAAGTGCAGTGGCCCCAATCACTTCACTAGGGACTGCGTTCGGAGAGGGGAGACCACTCGTGCGCGTTCTTATCTGTGAAAAAACATCGGTCACCAGGTCAGATATTGTCCGGATGTTGTCGCTGGTCTTTTTCCATGGAAACAAGTGAATTCGACTCTGCCTATCGTCACTGTCTCCGTTGACAGCGCATCGTAGTCGGATCTCCACGACTGTGGATGCTCACGTTCCATTACGAGCGCAAAGTTATGTCGGTCGCGGTCGAAGGAAGACATGGTGGTAACCATATTAATCGGAGCCACGCAGAGATGCTGTGGAAGCGACACCGTCAGGATTTGCCCAGCGTCCGGTAACACTACCACGATCGATGTACTGGTTATGCGAGGGAAGAATCTGGATTTCAATCTATTGCTTGGCATTGGTGCCATTAATGCATTCACTAAATGATTATTATCTCCAAAACACTGTTACGATCTCAATATATTTTCTGGCTTTAAACGGCTTTCAAAGATTTGATGAGTCGTAAAGAAATAAATCACTCAATCGATCACTGTACTGGGTATGACGATAAACTACATCCGCGTCTTGGGTATGAAGATAAATTACATCCGCGTCCTGGGTATGACGATAACTACATCCCCGTCCTGGATATGAAGATAAACTACATCCGCGTCCTGGATATGAAGATAAACTACATCCGCGTCTTGGGTATTAAGATAAACTACATCCGCGTCCTGGGTATGAAGATAAATTACATCCGCGTCCTGGGTATGACGATAAACTACATTCTCATACTGGATATGAAGATAAACTATATCCGCATCCTGGACATGATGATAAATTACATCCGCGTCCTGGGTATGAAGATAAACTACATCCATGTCCTGGGTATGGCTATAAACTACATACCCGTCCTAGTTAAGACGTTAAACAACTTCCAACTGCAAGTTTCTGATCAGAAAATTTTGAGGAGCGTGGAACCACCTCTTAATTACTGGTGTTCCCAAGTACACCCAGACCCGTGGTGGTAGCACCTGTTAGGTTCCCAGCTATGGGCAAATAGCTAACACTCAAACAGGGGCCAAAACACTATGAAAGTGTAAAATTAGGTTTTAATACCAGCAATAACTTTTTTGAGGAAAAATTGTTACCCGTAATACATTATTACCAGTATTACACTTTGGAAGAAAACAAATATTACCAGCAGTACATTTTTGAAGGAAAAAATATTACCAGCAGTGCATTTTTGAAGAGAAAATATTACCTTCAATATATTTTTGAAGGAAAAATATTACCAGCAATGCATTTTTAAAGGAAAATATACTACCAGCAATGCATTTTTGAAGAAAAAAGTATTACCAGCAATAAAAATCTTGTTGGCATTAAATAACCCATTGAGGATGATATACGTAAAACAAAATAAAGCAAACCAAAACTCAATCGATCAATGTTTCTTAGAGCCATGAATATTGGACATTTCATTAAAAACATAAACATGTAATATGTTTAGCCAAAACAATAAGCATTTAGCATTTTAGCAAAGAGCATAAATATTTAACATTTTATTAAAAACATATACTTTTAAAATATTTGCTTCCTGTGTTCATTAGATAGTTACATACACTAAAGTTCAAAAGTTTGACGCCATCCCTTGTATTTTTTTTTTTAAATTAGCCCCTAAATAGTTGTTTTGGACTTTAAATAAAAGAAAATTATTATTCACGGTTAAAAAAAGTTAGAGATAATTTTTATTAGAAATTTTATAATGGCGAAAAGAAAAAAAAATCATTTTATGATTAAATTTTGCTCTCGCCAAAATATCCTCGTTTTTAATTTCTGCAGGCACAAAGTTTTAGTATTCGTTGTAAAAGTTTCTCAAAGGATAAGTTTGATAATTCATTCCATACTTTTTTCAATGAGCGCTTTTGCATTTTTTTTTGTTCACTCTTCTGTCATGTACATTCTATGCCAATTCAGAGAGTAGTTTCAAACTTTTGAACTGTAGTGTATATTGATTGTTTTTTCTTTGCGGTGTTCGACTAATAATCTTAAATCTTTCGTAATATTTTTTGTTTTTGGTTATCCTGTGAAACGGTGACTAAAAGTTATTCAAATTTCATTTTAGATTAGACACACCTTTGAGGTGGACAAGTAGACAAGAATGACCATGTTGGACATTTTTTTTAAATCAATTCACCCCAAGCATGGCGGCAATTCCACTAAGACGCATGGGCCAAGTGGAAGTAAAAGAGAAAGGCAAAGATTTTAGAAGGAATCGGGAACACAATCCTACACAGAAAACCTGAGTAAAGCCTTTACTCCAGTTCAAAAAAAGCCGGGGTTGAGTGTAAACTGGTTCCTTTTTTTTTTTTTTTACCTATAATCAAGGTCGCATTTCCAAAGCTGCTTGATACATTCTTGTTGTGTACGGAGATGGCATCGGTACCGACAGAATGGCACAGAAATTGTTTTCCCGTTTCAAGGAGGGGAAGTTCAAACTCTCAACCATTCCTCGTTCTGGCAGACCTGTTCAGGTTTATGGGAACCAATTGCACACGATTCTTAAAGAAGAACCGTACCGGACCAATAGGATGGTAAGTTCTCGTTCGACATGTTCAGTTAATGGATAAGGTCCGAAAAGACGACACATTGGTACCACATCAATTAAACGAGATTAACAAATTTAAGCGCACCTCCATTGTCGTCTGTTTAATCGCTCGACAACAAAAATGCATTGATACAATCAAAGAGCGCAGTTGAAAAGCTCTGCCATATCCGCCATATTCTCCTGATTTAGTTTCTTCAGATTACTACCATTTTTGATCGTTTACTAACAATTTGGGGGACTTTTTCAACTACGATGTCGAGCCTATAATGTGAATTGATGAATTTTTCAAGTTAAACCCTATTTATTTTTTTATCGTCGAGGCATTGAACAGTTAGTGGATCGTTGACTCGGCGTTTTAAAAAATGAAGGGGAATACATTATAGAAGGATTAATAAGAACTATTAAAATAAATTATAAAAACGAATGAACTTATGTAAGAACCTAATATAAATATTTTGCCTTTCAACGTGTATGGCAAATTTTCAAGAAGATGGAATATATATAATATTTTTCAAAATAAAGATGTCAGTCTGTTAACAATCATTTAGGGGCATTGGGAGTTTATAAAGTTACGAATTTAAATTGTATTTTGACATTTTCGGCGACATATTTTAAAAGTTTTCTAGAATATATTTAAACGAAGTCGTCGTTTACAAACCGCTTAGAATATCCGAGGTTTGACGAAAGGTTTGACTGTTGATATGTTAACGGAGTTAAAGTACACAGATTAAAGCCGCTTTGTAGAGATTAACGTTGAACGCGCGTATACACATTAAATTATAACCTTCTCACTGACTTCACTCTAGCAGTGGAAGTAAATCGTTTAGCGGGTAGGCGGTTTAACATATCACAGAGAGGAACCATCAATGACTATGGCTTGTGCAGCAGTCTGACGAAGCACACATTCCCCAAGTCCGACAACCACAATACTCTTCAGATCTCGAACCTTACTATTTTTTCCTCTTCAAAAATCAAGTTCCCCTTGAAAGGGATAAGATATCAAGATCGATGTGATCCAAGAGAATCTGACAAGATAGTTATCCCCCACCCAAAAAGAAGATCCATATAGTCTTTCCTCAATGGAAACGGCACTTGATAAAGTGTGTGATTCCAGAAGGGGGGGGCGATTTTGAAGGATATTAAATGTCGAATTGATAGTTGTTGTAGTTAACTTTTTATAGAAAGGCTTACGGCCACATTACGTTAAACCACCAGTTCCCGTTCGATCACCGAAGTTAAGCAATGTCGAGCCTCGTCATTACATAGATGGGTGCCCGCTTGCCAATACCAAGTAATACCTGTAATTTCAGATGTGCGGGTGGTGTAATATCTAAGGATACGGAATTTTTAATCGGAGAGTAGAGTTCAAATTCCAGTTGGGTTCGTTATATCCTCTTACGTGCCAGAGTTATGAATCCACCTCTTCTCCCCCAGCTATAAGTTAATTAGTAAAATTTGTATCACTAAACTGTCATTATTTCCAAAAATAAAATAGTGTACAAAATATTTAGATTTCGGCATTAAATAATTATTTGCAAATGTTTGATATGCTACTAAACAAACACAATCTTTTTATAGCACCAGACATATTTTGATAAGAGCTTGTATGTAAAACCGTTTGTGGATGTATATACATAGATAAATATTAAGTGTTTATTAATTGTTATTGAGTATTGTAAAAATCGTATGCTAAAATGTGTTTGATTTAAAACATTTATTCTTATTATTTTGGTGAATATGTCTTTTGTTTTATGACTTTTTGCGATTTATCTGAAACTATATACGTGTATGCATTTTTTTAAATATTATCTCATGACTAGAATATATTATTTCATGTCTGGAATATATGTTGGTCTTGGATATTTTGCCTTCAATTATTCCATAATACATTAAAATGAATAAACATAACAAATGATAATTTAAAAGTTGTTCTTTTAATATTTACTGCTATTCAGCTGTAAGTCTGTCTAGATTAAGCGAAAATGTCATAAACCCAAATACGCATTTATCTACTCATAAAATTGTTTGTTATAACAGAAATTTTGTAAATCAAAATTGGCTCATTTGGTTTGTAAATGAAAGAAAATTACGCCAGTAAGATTATTGATTACAAATTTAATTTGATTATTGAACAAGGAACTTTGAAATTTTTTTTTTTTTTTTGCCTTTCATAGAAGTAAATATAAACATGCAATTTATATATCGTACATTAAAAGTCAGATGTCTACTCAGGTTTTAATGCACGAATCGGATACAACTCTCTCCCTGAACAAACTATTACCTTAAGTGGTGTACGATCATTTTGTAGGAGATGACTTTGCGTCCGCTACACCTATGTTAATTGATATGCATTGCGTACAGGATTCCTTTACTGATGGAGCAATGGTTTTTGCTAAAATAATTCCGCATAAAATAAATGGAATATATCCATCCCCCTGCTACAATTCCCATGGGTTATATACAGAGCAAGCCATTAAAAATCATTAAAGGAACAAGGGCATCTCATTACGAATAAATAATGTGCGGATAACGTTACAGAGTCGAGTTGGAATTGAAGATAGTTTGAAATACTTAGCTTTATTGGATTGTTGAAATAAAGTTTTTGAAGTGCAAAGTGCTTGGTTAAGGTCGATAATATAATTGACGAATATTTAAACCTGGATGCGTGAACAAGAAACGAAACCTTTCATATAACTTCAGACACTTTTCTCCTGTGTCAATTTAAGATATTTTTCTTTATTTTATATCAAAAAAGATTTCGCATTGGCTCATTATTTTTCTTTCGTGTTTCTAGGCACGCCGGCAAATTTCTGAGAGTACAACGTCTTCATTTGTCCAAAGAAACATTCGCGTAGGCTCGCGAATTTGTTATCGATTTTTTTCTCATCTTGCAGGTCATTCTCTGTGAAGACAAAATTTTCATTGACTGAAGGAAAATTTCACATAGGCTCGCGATTTTTATTTTCGTTCTTTTTCTCAGCTCACCAAAATTTAAAGGGGATGGATAAAGGGAGTTATTAGTATTTCACACTCACCACAAGATTCTCTCAAGTCTAAAGATATCGGGGGCCATCATTTTTTTTTATGAAAAGATATACAAATGTAATGCGATGTAATCAAAGATAAAAAAAGTGAAAAATATATAGATGTGATCATTGGATAGAGGGAAATCAAAAAGGATACGAAGGATCAATTATTAAAAATGCTTTTACTATTTTAAATTTTTGCAATATTTTTGTGGTATTCTTGTTTATTTTCTGTTTCTATTGAAAAATCTCACAAAATTTTGTGTTATTATTACTGTTTAAAAAAATTGGTCTGTATTTATTTTATAATCACATATCGGGTCATAACCAATGGCCTAGGGCAAGCGAAGGATGTGATCTTTTGTTGTTTTTACTTAATTAATCAAAATGAAATTGTCAACAAAATAAAATAAAAAAAATATTAAAAAAAAATTAAATCGACGGAGATATTCGCAGGATATGGATTGTGCTTGTTAGAAGGATTAGAGGGTATGGATTTTTTGGAGAGATGGTGAACCAGGGATTTTCTTGATTTTGTCTTGAGTTTCTTTCTTTATCAGACCCAAACCTCCAACCACAACAGGGAAAGTTTTAAACGCAATATCTTTTTGATTTCCATGTCCAGTACTTTGAATTTCCTTCGTTTCTCAAAAAACTTACCCTCAGATGTTTTTATTTTTTGCATATTTGGTCACTTTCGTTTGCATTTTTTTTGTGGAAACTTATTGCGCTACTCCATCATTTTTCTTTCGGAAAAGAAACTGGTGATGTAGAGGCTGCTTATTATTATTATTATTATTATTATTATTATTATTATTATTATTATTATCAACATCATAACCCACCTGTATTTATATGGAATTATGTACCGGTGAAAATTCAAGGTACCAGCTATTATACCTAAATATACCTCAACACACACATAACATTAAATGTCTGTTTCTTGTACGAGGTGATAGTTCAATATTCCCTTTTATGCAGTAAGTCCGCCTGTTACGACAAGCCCTACGATAATTCGTGGTTATGACGCAATCACCATTTATCTGTTTTCCAATTATGCTATTTATCTTGTACATAAGGGGCTACTGCTCAGTTCCTGGCTTTACTCCATATTGTATTTTTGTGTATTTGGTCTCTTTCGGTTGTGTTGTTTTTGTGGAAACTTATTGCTCTCTATTATATGGCTCGCAAACGTAAGGCAACCTATTCTAATGGCGGAACTTTGAAGAAAAGGAAAGTGTTGTGGATTCCGAGATGAAATACGGTTACCAATGAATGACAAACGCAGGAATTAAATATAAGAAATAAAATGTATTTACACAATAATACAAAGGGTAATACTGTTAGTAAATCCAGGAACGCGGTTAGTAGCAATAATATATAGATATATACAGTCTCGAAGTAGACGTCCTGACTTCTACAAGAGGTTACCTCACACTATTACTCTACCTCCAACTCAATCACAATCTCAGTCTTCTGACCATCTCTACTCACTCTCTGACTGACTCTGGGTATTTAACGGCAGCAGTCCAAGTAACGCTGGTAGAGTCCACTTATATGAAAAAGGGGTGGACCCCATAACAGAAAGCCATCAGCATGGGAGGGAAAGTAGACATTGTTAAACGTCCTGAAAGAGTGAAAGAGCGACAAAGTTTGGCTGGCTATTTGGTTTGAGACACTCGACAGTCACTTAAAGCGTGTACATATGTGTGTATACATAGTGAGTTTCCTGTAAGAGATAAGGGCATTTCTTTGTTAAAATACAAGTTTGTGAATCCTCGGAAAAATATTAGTTGGGGAATCCCCCGTTTGGTTTTCTATTGATTCACCAATTCTTTCTTTTGCTTCGTTATCTCATCTACCGAGCACAAATGACATCACTGGCAATAATTATACAAGTCTTGTGAGACCGTAACATACCTACAACATGGACTCTTCCAGGACTATATAAAGTATGCGATATAATACTCTAGGAGAAGAGGAGGAAAGAGAGAGAAAGAGAGAGAGAGAGAGAGAGAGAGAGAGAGAGAGAGAGAGAGACAAACAAACAGACAGACAGACAGACAGACAGACAGACAGAGAGTATTCTAATACCGTAGTATCAGCCGCCTACGACTACCAATATTGGACACTAGCACATAGTAAGCTCCGCTTACACTTACACTATCTTTGTAACCTTTTTGTTTAATATATCTTTCTGACCTCTAATCTGTGTTTTCCTTCCGTGGTCCCAACTTTGGGCCCACATCAACAAGCAACTAAAAACAATTTAATGTATTTTTTTAGTTGTAATTATGTTAGAATAGGTCCTAGAACAGTGTTTCTTAGATTGTTAATTTACTATTGCATTAGCATTGATTAATGAAGTAATTGCTTATTCACGGAACATCGCGGGTACGATCCGACTTCCACTGAGAATCGCGATGCGTCGTAAGAACGGAACACTGTCGTAAGTCGAGGATCTCCTGTATAAGAGATGAGATATAGCATTTCGTGACTAGTTTTCTATACCTCTACACCTTAGTGGTTACCATCTGACTTGAGAGAAGAGTCAGTACTCAGAGATATATGAATTTTTCTTTTAACTTCTTTGTCCCGAATTGGAGATGGTTCTTTGGTATTTGAGTAAAATATTAAAATTCTTTGAGCACTTCATCACCCGATACCAATATTTTTACGGACCAAATCGATCTTTTATTTATTTGTTTGTTTATTTATTTTTTTGCCTTTTCCAGACATAAGTTGTTTTGTTTGTATCGTGTCTGCTAGAGTGAGAAAGGAAAGAAAAGTAATTAAGATGTGTTCAGCCCGGGGGTGGGGATATGACGGTCCACGGGACGCACGCGATAACTTTACGCTAACCGCAACAGTACGGCAACCGTTACTTAAAAAGAAAATATCCATTAAGATATTTTAAAATTTAAATGTTATAATAATGTGAATCAGCAACTAAATAAATACAAATATTTATTCAGATACGTCAATTAACCCTAGAATACTGACCATGAGTATATAGTACCCAGCGCAAATTTTCCTATTCTTAATTACAATTTTCAGTACCTGATTTTCGTACCTAAATAATATATTTTCAGTTCCTATTAATGTTAACTTAAAGTACAAGTTTAAAGAAGCCTGATTGTAAAATATTTCAAATAAAGATTTATATTTAATTTTTTTTTTTTTTTTGATATTTTCAAAATCGGGTATGATATACCCATGGTTAGTAGTAACTTTAATTGATGGTTAGTGGCCTAGGGTTAATATTCCA